TTTGTAAACTTTCCCCCAATTTGAGTTTAGTTTGCTTTCTCCTGGTTAGGTTTATGTTATGCATATTTGGCAGGAATATCACAGAAGCGATGCTGTATTCTCTTCGTTATCAGGTGGCACATAATTTTCATTTGTCCCATTACTGATGATCACTTTGCTCAATTACAGTGGTGTTTGCTAGTTCTCCATTTTATGGTTACTCTTTTCATCTTTGTAATAAGTATTTTGGGAAGAAGCCCTTTGAAACTATATAAATATTCCCATTTGTCTTCAGACTTTCCATTTATTCACTTATTAATGTCAGTATGGACTCATGAATTTCTGTTTGTTTTAATGAGTTATAATCCAATACTATCATTATTATTTTGATGCTCCCTTGTCCCAGATTTGGCCAGTGGAAACGCATTCAAGATGATTTCTGTGTCCTTTTAACATTTCCTCTTCATTTTTGAACACTTCCTTGCTTTCTGACACAAAATGTTCCACACTCATCTTGTGCTTTCCCTACCCCAACCCTGGAATCAGTCATTTTTCCAATGAGCCTGGTTCCTTTAAGTGGAGAATGATATTTAGAAGTTAGTGTCTGGATTCTAGAAGCTGTTGTGTGTCACTGCTCCCCAGGTGCTTTCAGTGGACAGGGCTAGGGACTATATGTATGTGTACCCATACATACACATATACCTACATTTACACCTATATTTTATATCTTTATATATAGTAGAAGTCATGCGTTTATGCAAGTACCTCCATTTCCAGTACAGCACCACACATTTTCATATTTGTAACTCCTCTGACAGAGAAAAACCTGGCTCTCATTATCATTATTTGTTGTTGTTGTTAATCCTCACTTGAGGATATTTTTCCATTGCTTTTTAGATAGAGTGGAAGGGAGAGAGGGGGAAGAGGAGGTGGGAGTAAGGGTGGTGGGGTGGAAGGGGGAGAAAGAAACATCACTGTGAGAAAGACACATCGATTGGTTGCCTCCTGCACACACCGTGACCTGGGCTGGGGATCAAGTCTGCAACCAAGGTGTGTGCCCTTGAATGGAATCAAACCCACGACCCTTTGGTGCTCCTGCCAATGCTCTAACCATTGAGCAACACTGGCTGGGGCACATTATCCCTAATATTGATACTTATTTGATCAGCCCTCCTTTATATAACCATCCATTGCCACTACCATATCCTTCTCAGTGTAGATGCTCTCCTTGCCTCATTTGGGTTCTGACATTCTGTACCATAGCCACTGTTCTGTGTGGACACACTTCTCAACTGCTTGGATTCTGACGTGCAAGGCTTACTCTAATATGTGGATGCCCCTTTCAATGGCTCCTTCACCCAACTCAAGTTCTGACACTTTGCATTGGGCTACTCCCATGCATAGAAGCTTTCCTCCATTTTGGTTCTATGGTGCCAGCCTCCACTGTCCCATGTGTGGGGGTCTTGCTCACCCTGTTTAGGCTCTGAGACTCTACACCAGACCACCTCCATGCATAGATGTTTTCTTCACTATACTCAGGCTCTGATTCCTCAAGCTAATTTGTCCTTTAGCTTGGTTACCCCCTTTATCCCTTTCGAACTCCATTACTCCAAGTCAGGCAGTTCTGCCTGAATGCCCTTCTTACCCTGCTCAGGCTCTGACTTTCCATGTTATCTTCCCTCCATGTAGAATCCCTCCTCTCTTCATTCAGACTGCCCACCCCGCGTAGGCACACTCTTCATGCTGGTTTGTCTCCAGTAAGCTGCCCTAGATTGCCCTCATTCCTTGCATGGACATTCCTCTCACCTATCTTGGGTTTTGATACCCATACCAGGCTATATTTTGCTCATTTTTAAAGTATGTGTACTTTTCCTGCCTTTATGTTTTGCTGCTAACATCTAATGGTGATGTGTTAATTTTTAAAATTTAGAAAATATAAGTACAGTGACTATATATTTCAAAAATTTGGAATATGACTGCATTATACTATGTAATATTTGAAATGAGTATTATCCTGAACATTTTTGGGTATATGGTTACCCTTAAAATAAAGAACAAAGATTATCAATTTTTTTCTTTTTTAAAATTGAATTTATTGGGGTGACATTGGTTAATAAAATTATATAGGTTTCAGGTGTACAATTCTTTAATATATCATCTGTATATTGTATTGTGTGTTTACCACCCTAAGTCAGGTCTCCTTCCATCACCATTTGTCCTTCCTCTTCTACCTCCCCCGAAAATTTTCAATTTCTGGTAATGGAGGAGTACCTCCTATTATTGAACCAAACTTCCAACAGATAACAATTATGGATTCTGGACAAAATATGAAAAAAAAAATCTATTATCTGAAAGCATTGAAAATAACAAAACCAACTTGTTTTTATAGCTTTTTTTTGTCTAAGTGCAGGCCCCAGTTTTAGCCTCAGGGTGACCAAAACTTGGGTAGATAATCCACAGATTTACTGGCTTAAAAAACCATAGAAAGCCTGGCCAGCATGGCTCAGTGGTTGAGCATCAACCTATGAACGTGGAGGTCACTGTTGGATTCCCTGTCAAGGAACATGCCTAAATTTCAGGATCAATCCCCCTTGTGGGGCATGCAGGAGGCAGCTGATCTATGACTCTCTCATCATTGATGTTTCTATCTCTCTCTCCTTCTTCCTTCCTCTCTGAAATCAATAAAAAACATATTTTTAAAGAACAAAAAAAAAAAATAGCAAGGCCCTGGCTGGTGTGGCTCAATTGGTTGAGTGTCATCCCATGTACCAAGAGGTCAGGGTTCAATTCCCGGTCAGAGCACATGCCTGGGATGTAGGCTCAATCTCCAGTAGGGGGCATACTGGAGGCAGCTAATCCATGTTTCCCTCTCATTGATGTTTCTCCCCCCCTTCCTCTCCCTCTAAAATCAATAAAAACATTTAAAAAAAAATAACAAAAAAGAACATAGGAAGTGCAGCAACTGGGAAGTAAATAAGGAGAAATCCTGGAATGAGAAGGCAGGGAGAGCTTTTTTTGTGTATAAATTCTCTGGCTGATGCAAGTCTGTAGCTGATCCTTGAACTACACTTAGATGAGTCACAGTCTGAGCAGCCCATCTGAACACGTTCTGGGAAACACTCAATCCCAGGCATACTGGGACATCTGTTTACCCTAGCTGTTGCCTACCACAAATGAGACAGAATTTGAGCTTGAATCCAGACAAGTATTTGCTTTAAAAAGTAAAATAAAGAAAAATTCTCATACTCTTCAAAGGAATATAATAGAATCCATAAGTTCTGTAACATCATTTACAGTGTCCAGGGTATTAGCCAAAAATTTTAGTTCAAATAAAGAAGGAAAATGTTACCTGTACTCAAGAGAAAAGGAAATCAGTGGTGACTGACCTCAAGATGACATAGATATTGGAATTGGAAGACAAGGATCTTAAACAGCTATAACAATTATACTCAAAGATGTAAAGGGATATATGTATGTAATGAATTAACAAATAGGAAATTTCAGCAAAGAAACTATAAAAAAAGGAACAAAGCGGAAAGTTTTAGAACTAAAAATTATAATGTATGAAATTTCAAAAAGTTCATTGGACAGGCTTACCAGCAAATTAAGATGACAGACAAAAATAAGTGGATTTGAAGATCTATCAATGAAACTATTCAATTTGAACAACAGAGAAAAAAACATTGAGGGAAAAAAGAACAGAGCATCAAGGAACTGTGGGGAAATATGAAAAAGCCTAACATACATATGCAATTGAAGTCCTAAAAGGAAAGGAGCAAGAGAATGGAGGAGAAAAATTTTTGAAGAAATAATGTTTGAAAATTTCTCAAGTTTGGTGAAAAACATAATTTTACAGATAAGAAGTTCAATGAACCCAAGTAGGATAAATTCACATACAATCACAACTAGGCATATCAAACTGCTGAAAACCAAAGGTAAAGAGAAAATATTGAAAGCATTCAGAGAAAAAGAATAATATGTAAATATTATCACTAACTTACCAGAAACAGTAGAGGCTAGAAGATAGTGGAATGCCATTTTTAAAGTGCTAGAAGAAAACTGTCAACCCAGGATTCAATATCAAGTAAAAATATTTTTTTAAAATTGAAGGCACACCCTGGCCAGTGTGTCTAAGTGGTTAGAGCATTGGCCAGCGCACCAAAGGGTTGTGGGTTGGATTCCAGTCAAGGGCACCCACCTTGATTGCAGATTCAATCCTCGGCCCAGGTCAGGGTGCATGTGGGAGGCAACCAATCGATGTGTCTCTCTCACATCGATGTTCGCTCTCCCCCCCTCCCCGTCCCTTTCATCCTAAAAACAATGGAAAAATATCCTCAGGTGAGGATTAAAAAAATTAAAATTGAAGGCAAAATAAAGATATTTCCAAATAAATGAAAATTAAGTTGTCACTCACATTGTGGCACTACTAAAAATGCTGAAGGAAGCTCTTTAGATTGATGGGAACTCAGGTCTTCATGGAAAAAAATCAGAAGCACCAGAAATATTAAGTACGTGGGTAAATGCAAAGCACTAATTTTTCTTCTTAATTTCTCTCTTTTTAAAAGGACAATGTAGCAAGTTTTTCTTTTTTTTAAAGTTAATTTTAGAGTGGGGAGAGAGATAAAGAGGGAAACATCAATATGAGAGAGAGATGTAGATTGGTTGCCTCCGGCATGCACCTCTACCAGGGATGGAACCCGAAACTTAGGTACATGTCCAGACCAGGAATTGAACTGAACCCACAACCTTCCCTCATGCATAGGACAACACTCCAACCAACTGATCCACACCAGCCAGGGCTCTTCTTAATCTCTTTAAAATACAATTGCTGTGTTGCTAATACCTTTTATTCTCCTCAAGGCACTTTTTTGGGGAGGATATAGAGAAAGAATAGTCCTGCTCTGAAGAGGAAAATCTGCCGCTAAAGCTTCCAAAATGGTATCCTTATTAATTTTAGGATCCTCAGATCTGTAAAAAATTTACTCTATGCAGCTAATATTTATCATATTTTTTCTTTTCAGATATAAAACCAAATGTAGAACTGAAAAGCACTCAGGAGCAGTCTGTGGCCACAGGTAACATCCGTTCTTTCCTATATAGAACTATAACTTTACTGAAAATACTAAAAAAAGAGGAACATTTTGATTGCAGTAAACCTGAGATCCTCTGGTTTCTGGGCCAACGCCCTAACCACTGGAGCAACACTGGCCAGGGCAGTTTGCTGTTTATTAAGCATGCTTTTATTATGTCTGCTCCTTCTCACTTATGAACTCCCATAACACTATGTATTTCCCTTAATCTTTTGTCAGAGTCTACCTTATAGACTTCTATTATTTCTTGTCTGAGTCTTATATTACAGTTGTGGGCTTGTCTTACCTATATTTGCAGAGTATAAGCTTCTTGGGCACAGGAATTATAACTTACTCAAATCTGTGGCTTTGTCAGCATTTAGTACATATTTGAAGAACTCAAGGAACTTGAGGACCGATATGTTTTCCACAGAATCACATTTATAATGTGAACAGAAAAGGAAAATAGGAAGCTTACAGGCTTCCTCTAAGGAAAGCATCTTTCCCAAATTGGGTTATGTTAGTATTTCTCATCACTGCATATCAATACTTCTTGGTCATAAATAACAATAACATCCTACTGAATATTGTGAGACATCCAAAAGGAGAGAGAATTTCTGTACAGAAGGAACCTGAGTTCATTTTAACTCAGGTGGAAGAAATATTCAAGAAAATCATGTCTAATGGAAAGGTGCATGATCCCTGGATATATTTCTAAACCTCAAGAGTTTTCACATATATCCTACTTGGGGTATATGTGAAAGGGATACTATCACTAAGGGTTTATGTGAAGCTGAGATGGGAAACTACTTAATACATGTTTATAAAATTTTTTTAAAGTTGATTGCATAGTTAAAATTCTTTTTATCTCCTAGAAGGTCCAGTGATTTTAAATGACTACAATTTAACCAAACCTCATGAAACAGAAAATGTGGACAGTGCCGAATGCCCAACCAATGAAGATGAAGATATAGGAGGTGAGCCATAGTGTACAGACTAATAACTAATGGTTATAGATATGGTCAAGACTAAATATGAAAAAGAAATCAGGAACCCTCCAAGAAAAATTTGCATTTGTGGGTTGAGTTGGGAGTAATTCATTTTTATTAATTTTACAAGTAATTATATTTAATAATTTGCTATATAGGATATTAGCAAATCTTGAGAACCTAAGGTGTTTATTCAGTGTTCAAGTTATAATACATTTATTTTTTAAATGTTATTTTTACTCTTTTTCATTATAAAAATTATACATGATCATTGTAAAAAGATTTGTTTGCGGTGTTTTCCAACACCAACAACCAGTTCTCCAAACCTTCAGACACCAACTGGGCACCCAACAATGCAATTTTCATACTAACTCCTGGAGTTAATGCTGAACCCACAGGCTAAGTGGTCAGTTTTACATGACTGCCCTCACTTCAGATGCCAGTTGTAAGTACCAGGTCCCCTGCTTACCTGCACTTCTTCCAGCTTGGCTACAAATTCAGGGTTTTCCACAAACCTCTCTCAGATTTGATAATTTGCTAGAATGACTCACAGAACTTAAGAAAAGTGACTCACTTGACTTACTATTGCCAGTTTGTTATAAAGGGTACAACTCAGGAACAGCCAAATGGAAGAGATGCATAGAGCAGAGTATGGTGTGGGAGAGCTTCCATGACCTCTCTGGGCACACCTCAATGTGTTTATCAACCCAAAAGTTCTCTGAATCTCATTGTTCAAAAGTTTTTATAGAGCTCAATCTACAGTCCCTTCTCCCCTTCTTGGAGGTTGGTGGATAGGGCTGAAAGTTCCAACCCTATAGTCACTTGGTCTTTCTGGTAACCAACCTATCTTGAGGCTATTTGGTGTCTCCACCTTAAGTCACCTCCGTAGTGTAAACTCAGGTCTGACTGAAAGGAGCTTGTTATTAATAACAAAATATACTCCTATCACTCAGGAAATTCCAAGAGTTTAGAAACACTGTGCCAAGAACTGGGGACAAAGTCTAAATATATTTTTGTACTATACCACAGTTTGATAATTCATAGAAGTGGAAAGAAAAAAGAAAAACCCACCTCTGTCCTACCACTCAAAGATAGTCTCTATTAGCATTATGGATTATTTCCAGGCTCTTTTTGTGAATTTTAAGCACAATATTCATATCAACATTGCACACATTTCGTGTTAATATTTATGTTGATAAATCTGTTCACTGTTGCTTTATGAATGTCACTCAGATCTCATCTTAGATCTCATTTCTTCAGAGAGATGTTCCTTGACAACCCAGTCACTCTTTTTTTTTTTTTTAATATCTTTATTGATTTCAGAGAGAGGAAAGGAGAGGGAGAGAGAGAGATAGAAACATCAATGATGAGAGAGTCATTGATTGGCTGCATCCCGCAACCCGGACATGTGCCCTGACCGGAATCGAACCCCAATCGCCTGGATTCTAGGTCGACGCTCAACCGCTGAGCCACGCCCAACAGGGCCCCAGTCACTCTTTTGACACAGTACTCTGTTTTAATTTTCTGCATGGCACTTCCCATAGATAATTTTGGAGTTTTATTTATTTGTTTATTGTCTTTCTCATCCTACCCTTTATGAAGTAGGATCTTAGGCTTTTTTTTTTTTGACTGCTAGGTATTTGCAGCCTCTTGAACAGTACTTGGCCCATAGTTGGTGCACAATAAGTATTTGAGTAAATGCCTAAATGAATGCCTTAGTTTAATTGTATGTATTTATATATGTGTTTATTAAAGGAATAAAAGAAAAAAGTGGTTTCTTGGGATCTTTTTCCTTTGTGTTAGATTCTTAAGGGATCAAGAAATAGAGTTCTGTGTCTAAAACTTCTGAGATTCAAATCACAGCTTCAACTAACATTCCAGCTCTGCCTAGCTATACTTTAATTTGTACCAGTTCTTAACCACAGAGACTGAAAAATGCTGCCTGGCACAGGATGTGGTCATTTGTGCTGAGGAAAGGCATATGGTGTTCTACCAGCTTCATGCAACTTCTTGAAGGTGACATCCATGGAGTCACACTCAGAATGAGGCAAATGATAACTGTGCCTTCAGCTTGCATTTTTCTGACTTATAGTTTCTGAGTTCTGGTAGGTAATGCCATTAAGTGTATGTTTGAAATGATGGTCCCTATACAACATTTGGTCTGGGAATTTATAATTTATGTTAGAATTTGCTCTGGGATCAGAAGTAGTTATGAGTTTTATGTTTTCAGATAGTTGGCAGGAAAATAGGTTAAATACCCAAAGTAAAAAAGAAACCAAATAATTTCTATTCAACAGTAGGAATTTAAAACAAATATAAAAACTCATGTGGTTCAGCACTTCCCTAGGAATCTATACAATAGTTTGCAGGCCTCTGAATTTGACCCTGCTCTAGAAGTGCTTCCAAGAAGAAAAGAGAGAGATTCAACCCCTGTGGTTCACTTGTTTTGAAGTCATCTTCAACTGCTGTAGCTGCCTAAGCCATTTCTATCACCTGACCTCTAATACATGTCAGTGGATTGATGGTATATCTGTGAATTTTTCCTCAGTTGTTAGGGCCCTGGGAGTGTCATGCAGTTCTTGGTATAAACTAGAAGATATAATCAATCATTCTAAATAATTTGGGAAAGAGAAAAAATTTTTCTTTTTTCTAAGCCTGACTTAGAAAGAAATGAATAGGTTAACTTTAGTGTTGAAAAACAAATCCATTATTTCATGATTAAATTCCAAACTGATTATTGTACTATTAATGTTGGCATTTAATCTGGATCACATACCTTTGGAAAGGGTTGTAACCAGGCCCCTGCCTTTTGTGAACAGCATAATCAAATTATACATGCTAAATTATAAAATATAGAATTGAAAAGTAGCATTGCCTGGTATACTATTGCATAAGTAACTTCTGCAACATGCAGCATAGGGAAACATTAAGACTAGAGTTAGAATTATACTTTTAAAGGTAATTGGGGAAATTTAGCTATAATATAATAATGATTATAAATAACTTTAAACATGCTTTAGAGTATTTTATTCTGTTTAAGTTTAATGGAAGCATTTTTAATGTCCTCTCTAAAGTTCTAGAAACTAAGACTAAACTAAAACTAGAATGTTTTAAATTCAGTATAATTGTAATCATGTTTAATTTATATGTTAAATAAATGAAATGTCATGTGCATCTTTCCCAATTTCCAGCCCTTAGAAAAATGTTTTATAGAAAATTTCAGGCTCCAATAGCTACAGTCACTTTATTTTTCTCTTGTGGAAAGACAGGTTAAATTTTTAGGTGGAAAAAGTCTACCTAACTAGAATTGTTGTTTGAGAAACAAAATAAAAGATTTGGAAAAAACTTTTTAAAAGTATTAATATTTAACATAAGTTCACTTATTTCCCACCCTACGGATATAGATATATTTTTATATATTCCTAGGAAACTAGTGCAAGAGTTAGCAAACTTCCATAAAGGTCCAAATAGTCAAGATCTTAGGCTTTGTGGTTCATATGATCTCTGTTGCTGCGTCTCAACTCTGCTGTTGTAGTATAAAGCAACCGTAGAAGATACATAAATGAATGCAGGTGGCTGTGTGCCAGTAACTTTATTTACAAAAACAGGCAATGGGTCAGACTTAATCTGTAGGCCATAGGTTGCTGACTCCTGGTCCAGTGTGTACATTTGTTGTGTGATGAGTTCAGAAAGCTTTTGGTCCTTGAAAGGAACAATGTTCATATAAACATTTTGAAAAGATATCAATGGGGAGTCTAACACCATTATTTTTAAAATTAGGAAAAAAAAGTATTATTAACAGCTCTGTTTATCACACATTGAGAATGTATATAGCTCTGTGCCACTGCAGGTTACATAACTTAATTGGTCACAAATAAAACCATATGTGGATTAAATATTGTTTTACCATTGAGATGGCTCCTCCTTTCTTTATGAAAATTTAAATCTCATAGACTAATGCACTGGAGATATTTACATCAACTCAAATTTATTTTCTCCATGAGGCCTTCTTGCACTATCCCAGCTTCCCGAAGTGTAGTGTTAGAGCTGAGTTTTTGGACTGTGTTTGATTGGTGCTTGTTTAAGCACCTAATTATATTCTGTCTGGAATTGTTTGTGCATGACAAACTTTCACCCCTTATAAACTTAAAAAAAAAAAAAAGAGTCCTAATAGCCCACATTTGTATCTTTCTAAAATACTCATCTATGAAGTGATATAATCTACCTGAATTGAAAAGCACAAGAAACGAAGAAGTTCAGAGTTCATTTTCCAGCCTGTTCATTGACCCCTATGAACGATTATTATTTCTCTTGTTAGTTGTGACCTACTGTAACTGTTGTCAGACTGGTCTTGAGCAGTAAGAAATAACCCAGGGATTTCCAAGTCTTTGTTTTTCTGTATTGTTGGATGAACGCTGGGGTATCATAGACATTTCACTGAATACAAAGGATATTGGGACCTTCCTATTGGATCTAAAATGTCATTGAGGCACCGTAATGTCAAAAGCAGAAGTTAAAGCAATATTTAAAACAAATCACGAGAAAGAATATTCCTACTATTGTATCTGACTTGTGTTCACAGAGGAACACAATAAAATAAAAGCCTCTGGGTAGTAGGGCTAGGGATAAGATATGTTTAATGGTAGTGTACACAGGGGTATAATTAGGTAAAGATGAGACACAAGATGATGGAACATCATCCCAGCAAGGCCCTGTAAAAGAGAAATGCAGTTAAGGGCTGCATAACTAAGGTAGAACCTCAGCTTTTTGTTGTAATCCTTCCTCTGAAATTGGATCCTCATCTTTGCCATTTCCCACTTAGAATATGGAAAGAAAGATTATGTCCTGGACATGATTGAGGTTGTGATTCTACATGCATATGCTGGTGGCATTACTTTTCTCTCTTTGAATAATTAGGGAATATGTATTTGGCTACCAGCTCCCTGCGTTGAACACTTGAGTGGCCCCATTTTCAGCAGCCCCCTACC